ATTCAATTTGGGTCATCATAGATTGAATGATAAAGTCAGCACATTTTATTCCCGTAAGGACTTCTTACTCAGTTGAGTACTATGCTAAGTTGTATATCCCAGAGATGGTTAAGTTGCATGGTATGCCCTTATCCTTTATATCGGACTGAGGTACCCAGTATACTTCTCAGTTTTGTAGATTTGTTCAAAAAGTCTTTGGTGCCAAAGTTAAGCTTAGTATGACCTTCCATCCTCAGACCGATGGCCAAATCAAGCATACTATTTAGACTTTAGAGGATATGTTGAGAGTTTGCATGAATGACTTCAAGGGTAATTGGGATAATTACTTGCCTTTGATTGAGTTTGCTTAGAATAATACTTCAAACTCGAGTATTCAAATGGCTCCATTTGAAGCTCTATATTGTAGGAGGTGTAGCTCTTCAAAAATGCCTTAACCAAGTGTCACTTGTACAAGAGCATTTAAACTGAATGCAATTGCTCAATACTATAAAACTATCTAGATAATAAAAATACATGTAGATAAGATACATGAAGCCAGACTATTGCTCCAAACATAGACAGCTAAACAGAGTTTCAAACTACACAAGCCTCAAACACGGTGGGGCTTGCTAGATCTAGGATCTACATAAAAGATTATGCAAGATTAGTAGAGTACAAACTCCTCATACTTAGTTGGTATCATGTGATGATTAGGAAAGAATCAATCAAATACTTCATTTGTCCTATTTTATGTGGCTCCATTTGACTTAGCACGGTATTTAAGAGAAAATGGGGACTTTTAATATTTGTGATCTAAAACAATCATTAGATATTTGTTGTGACTATTAATGATTTCATTAAGAATAAAAGGAGAATCTTAAAGGTAAATTGTATCTAATTATAGTACGGTGACATTCTTCTTGGGACAGACTAAAAAGGAAAGGGCGTTAAATAAATTGGAAAGAAGGGAGTATATTGTAAAAAGTATTCTATAAACCTTGTTAAGTCAACACAATACTCCGATAATTCCAGAAATACAAGTATAAGCAACTGACCAAAATCATCTGATAAGTAAATGTGAAGCATAATTTAAACAGAGAATCAATGAGGTGTAAAGAAATTGAAAAATGAATAAGAGAATAGTATCAACGATAAAATAATACAATAATTGAAACAACAAAATCAACAGGGAATACTACAATCAAAGGATAAGATAGAAGAGTAATAATATCAATAATTGAATAGAGGAACTAGACAATGCTCAACCTATCAATCTTCTATATTAATCCTCAACCCCTATATCTTCCTATCTAGAGTCATTTCCTGTAAGTTGCAAACCATCTTATGTTTTAAGAAATAGCTACTAAAAACTCTCAAATTATAAAGAAAAAATAGTAGAGAAGAATCAAGGTATAAATAGAGTTGTTCTTACAAATATTCATCAATAAAATCTTTGTTTCATCATATTTTATTTTTTATTATAATTTATTTTTCATCACATAAAATTTGTTGCAAAAAATATTATTAGTATGAAATAGTGTGACATTTACGCCTATAACGGCAAAACTTTGTTCTTGAAAAAGTAATAATCAAGACAAGAAAAATAATGACACATATTTAATTTTTTTTTAAAAGTTTGTTCACGGATTACGATCTTTATAAAATCTTAAATGCAAAGATATAATCCTGTGATTTTTTTCTCCTTATGATTGTCAACTCAAAAATTTTACTTGTTCTTGAACTGATAGACCACTTATTGTTGGAATGTCACCACGAATGTGTTGCCAAGATCCAATCACAAACATAAAGGTATAAAAACTTGTGGTTCACTACTAGAGATGAAGACTTCTTAATTTGTCGCAGTTTTTGGCAATTCAAAGACAAAGTCTGTGGTTGTCTCGTTCTACTACCATTGTGGTATATGTCTCACCTCATCTGGCTCTTTTGTTGAGTTTTTCTCTAAACTAAAGGCACATGATGATCCTAATTCAAGGGAAGTACAAGTTGCTGGCACACAAGCTATTGGGGAAAATATTACTAAAACAATCCATATGCCTCTTGATGGTGATAGTACTACTGACCCCTCAGCAGGATTAGATGATGGTCATGAAGAATAGGTTGAAAATGAGATTCAAACAGTACTGATGAGACTCAGGTTGCAAGTTTAGGATCAGCTAGTGGTAGTGAGAAGCAGGTTGCAAATGCAAGTCTAGATAGTGGTGGTCCATCAAATCCCACATTATATATGACTAACCCATAAGGAATACGTTTATAAGTTGATCTCTCAAAGTGGAATCTACCAGAGCACAAGCAATCTGAAGATACTACACTACAATCAACTGTCTCAGTTGATATACCTCCTACCCCACAAGGGCATCACATGATCACTAGACACAAGGCAAAGGAACATCACTTTTCACTTGTTTCATTGAGGGAACCAAATACTACTAAAGTCATCTTATTGGCTTGCAGCTATGCAGGAGGAAATCAATGATTTACATATTAACAATACATGGATATTGGTGCCCAAATCTACTGGTATAAACTTGGTTGGATCAAAATGGGTGTTCAAGACCAAGTTGAAGGTTGATGGAATAGTAAATAGATACAAAGTCGGACGTGTTGCCAGGGGTTTCTCACAGCTTGAATGGATAGATTTTGAAGTGACTTTTATCCCTGTGGTCAAGTCCACAACTATTAGGGTGGTTATATCCATTACAGTCAGCTCTAAGTGGAAAGTCAGGCAGTTAGATGTCAAAAATGCCTTCCTCCATGGTTTGCTGCAATATGAGGTATACATGAGTCAACCTATTGGGTTTGTTAATCCTAGGTATCCCAACATGTGTTTCTACTAAAAAAAGGCATTGTATGGCCTTAAATAGGCACCAAGAGCTTAGTTTGATAGATTTAGCATGCATCTCTTATATTTTGGTTTCATTTGTAGTAAGGCAGATCCTTCCTTGTTTACTTTGCAAACTCACAAAGGCACCATATTTCTCTTGTTATATATTGATGACATTATTGTAATAGGAATTAATCAATTACATGTCTCAGATTTGGTTCTACAACTTGGTGAAGAGTTTTCTATGAAAGATCTTGGTCCTTTGCACTTCTTCTTAGGAGTAGAGGTCAAGTATTTTGAAGGAGGAATTTACTTGAGTCAGAGTAGGTATGCTACTGATTTACTCGATAAGATATAGATTACATTGACAAAGGTTGTAGCTACTCTTTTGGCTTAAAAGCATTGTTTACATGAAGCTGTGGAAAGTCTTGTAGATGCCTCCGTATACAGAATGATAGTAGGGAGTCTTTAGTATTTGATTCTCACAAGACCTGATATCACTCAGGTTGTGAACCTAGCAAACCAGTTTATGCAAAGTCCTAACATTGAACACCTTCAAGGAGTAAAACGATTCTTAGATACATCAAATGTACTCTACATTTTGGACTCAGAATTATTTCACAGTCATCTTGTAGGTTGTATGGATATTTAGATGCTGATTAGGGAGGTTGCACCACTACTAGGAGATCAACTACAAGCTATAGCATCTACCTAGGTGAAAATTGTATTTCTTGCACTTCCAAGAAACAGAATATAGTAGCACAATCGAGTGATGAAGCTGAGTATAGAGCACTGGCCTCCACTACAGCATAGATGACATGAATTATATACCTACTTCATGATCTTGGGGTGTTTCTCAATTTAGATCTCACATTATATTGTGATAACTTGAGTGTCTTGTACATGGTTGTTAATCTAGTTATGCATGCTAGAACCAAACATGTTGAGATGGACTACTATTTTGTTTGAGATAAAGTAGTCAGAGGACAACTTCTTACTCAGTTTGTGAGGTCCAAGGATCAGCTATCTGACATTCATACCAAAGCATTGACAAAACAATTATTTGTTCAGTTTCGAAGCAAGCTAGAAGTAACAATTCCTCGTTTCACTAGCTTGAGGGGAAGTGTTGAAGATAAGGGGAGTTGATGATATGGACCAGGTTGAATAACAAGGTACAACCAGCGTGTACAACTGTTAATTGTTATAGAGTTAGAGTCACATTAGGACCGGGCAACTAAATACTAATTAGATGTCAACTAGGTTGATGTGTGTTATACTAGCTGAAGTCGACTAGGATACATTACTATAAATGTAATAGTAGTAGTAGTATACCTATACTAATGTAAATTGTATATTTGTATCCTAGTAGAATTCTAAGTATTGCTACTCTAGGACTCTCCTCCTATATAAGGAGCATGTACTTGACTGTTTTAATCATCAATACAATCATTGATTTCTCTAAATTCTCTACGTGAGAATTCTACACTCTCCACTTTTTCGGACGATCTTTTAATTGTGGGTACCTTTTCTCCATTTCCCTGAATGTCTATAAAGAGAGAGATATGTAACACCTCTATTTATAGTTGTAGGGGGTAGATAGTTCAAGTGTAAATGCATTCTCTTGCTTGATTTTGATCCGCTCATGTGAGTCATCAAGTTTATTACAAATTTTATGTGATAAGGCCAGTTTTAATTGTCCAAGACATGTCATATCGAACATTTGATGGCCTTAAATTGGTGTTCAATTTGATTAGGAGTGTCACATCATTTGACATGTGACATCATCTTATTATTGATCCTTGATTTAATTTGGTGTGTCATGTCATTTGAAGATCAACTGAACAAACTAGCCCAATAAAATTGAACTTTAATTTAAATCCACGTCGTAGACATAAATAATTAATTTTGATTTGGATTTGATATTTCTTGAATTTAATAATTTATCCAAATTTAATACGGATTTTAATTCCAAAAGTATTCACATGTCATCAACGTCATATTTCACAAAATTCAAACAAACTTTGTAGTTAATTAAAATGCTTCGCATCAAACCAAAAATAAATAATAATCCAAAAATCGAGAAATCGGAAATAAAAAAAACTCAATTATATTAATTTAATAATATGATTTATAAATATAAATAACTAACACAATTAATTTTGATTTGATAAGTCAAAAATTTGAAACATCCCAAGAGCTATGTTCACCCTGATCAATAGTCATAAAATTAAAACTAGAATGAAAATAAGTATTAAAAAAAAAAAAAAAAACTTCATCTCCAAAATGAAAAGAAAAAAGTAATTTTGATTATGTTAAAAGGGGTGTACATTCCTGGTTAATCCGCCATTAACATTAGTGAAGAAACCAACAAGGTCCGGCCGGTAAGGAAGATAGGATCGCCGGCGTTCCTCATGTTTTGCTTTACTTTTCATATAAACTTCATGTGCTAACACAGCTTCACTCTTTTTTATTTTCTTCTTATTTTGTGTTACTAATTTCACAACTCCGTCTCCACTGATTTCCATTTTCTTCTGCGAAACAATTTTATCTTCTTTCTTGACAACGTTTGACAAAGATGACGTTGTTGTAGTAGTATTGTTGTTCAAGTATACGAATGCATCTCTTCCGTCACTGTTACTCCTATTCATGAAATCTCGAAATCTCCATAGCTTTGAAAACCCAGTTGAATTACTCTTTTTGCAAGTACTCTTATTATCAGCTGAATTATTTATATTTGTTGCCTTTTTTGACCATTCGCAATAGGGTCCAGAGATTTCTTCATTGGATGTTGTTGGAGGATTGACAGGTGCTGCGCGTTTTTTCAAGTGCTGGAAATCAATATCAGACAAGAGAAGATCTTGATTGAAGAGAGGAAAAAATGGTCTGATTTGACCATTATCAAATTCTTCTTCTGCTGCTACTGGTGATGTAAGTACTCCACATACAAATGAAAATTCTTCTTCAGTAGCATCAACAAGTTCAACCTCATGATCATCGTCGTCGTCATAGTCCTCTTCTTCTAAATCAATTTTGGGTTCGTCTTCAATTGATTCTTCTTTTACTTGTAGCTTCGCCATAAACTCTTCAGTTACTAAATCCGGATGCATTTTCTCTAAACAACCAATTTTAATGGCCGAAAACACAATTTCACTATGATTTTCCAGAGATCTAAAGTAATAGCTAGTAGGATTGTGGATTGAAATTATAGCTTTATGAAAAAAATGTGTAGTGAAAGGATTTGAATAAAAAGAGAGGTATATATTGGGTAGTAGTTGGGGAAAGAGATGAGGAAATTGGTAGCATTTAAAAAGAGAAAGAGAGAGAATAAATGTTTGAAAAGTAATTAGAAAAATAATGATGTTTTGGGGAGGAAGTAAATAAAGGAAAGAGGAGAGAAAGTGACATAAAATGAAGAATATATATTAAATTTTGATTTGACATATTTATTAAAAAAAATTGATATAGTGAATTTGTTATTTATTTCTATTATTTAGACATTACATTTTTCTAAAATATTAATACAATATTAATAAATTGAGTGTATTATAGGAACTAAATTATTAATTCAAATATATTTGCTATTTTATTTTTATTAACTAATATGTCTCAAATATATTTAGCCATTACATTCTTCGAAAATATTAATTCAATGTTAATAAATTGAATGTATAATAAAAAAAAAAATTATCTTTTCATATTCATATATTAAAATTGATAAATAAAAAGAAATCAAATTATAAAATATTTGACAAATAAATTGTAACGATGTGAATATTTAGAGAAAGGAAAACTTTTGTGCTAAAGAGAAAAAGGAAAAAAAGGAGAAAAATATTAGCGCGTTAGAGCTGAGAAATTGTGTCTATTTAGGCCCTACCATTTGTGCGCAATGAAAGTTTGACCTTTTCGTTATACATGAAACATGATTGGTATACATTTCGAGCAGATCTAGAATACACATTAACATTATTTTAAATAGTCCACTTTATTTTAATTTTTAATTACTTGTCTCAAATAATTCCTCCCGTTTCATATTAGATAGATATCTTATTAAAAATATTTATTCAAATTACTTGTTCACTCTTTAAATCAGGATAGATTTAATTAATTTTTTTCTCATTTACAATAATATGACCTTTGGAAATTTAAACAAATTTTGACGATCTAAGAATTTCTTTTTTTAAGAGGCTAATTAATATGAATAAAGGGTAAAATAGTAAAATTGATCAATCTATTAATAATTTTTTAATTACCGTGTAAAATAAAAATTACTCATCTAATATGAGACGGATAGAGTACAAATTATTATTTTTGTCAAATTTTAATTAACCTTGCTTATAATAAATTTAATTTTTTGTGAGAGAAAATAAAATTTCTCTCAATCTATACAACTTGTATTTTTTAAAAGATAAATTTTAAAATTCAATTCAAAATTTAAGATCAAAGAAACATTTAAAAATAACTTTTCAAAATCTTATTCAAAATTTTAGGTCAAACATTAGCTTATTCTTCACTCGTGCTGATTCCGAAATTATGACCTAGGAAATGTTTCAGAATAATTCAGTTATTAAATTGTCACAATTCAAAATTATTTCATCCGTTTATTTTTACTTGTCATATTTAAATTTGGCACATACATTAACAAAATAATACTTCCTCCGTTTCACAAAGAATGATCTAGTTTGACTTGGCACGGAATTTAAGAAAATAAAGAAGACTATTGAATTTTGTGGTCATAAATTAAAGTTATGTCAAATGTACAAAATTGTTCTTTAATATCGTGGTCTTAAACATGTCACGTAGAAAGTTCAATTAAAATGTTACCAAAAAAAGAAAGAGATCATTTTTTTTAAATAGACTAAAAAAGAAGAAGGTCATTCTTTTTTAAACGGAGAGAGTAATTGATATAATTATTTTACCACATCACTCCTATTAATGAGTGTTTATAATAAAATTTTGAAATAATAATTTAAAAAATAAGTAATCTACTTTTAAAATACTAAATAAATAAAATAAATAAAGAAAATATAATAATAGCAATATAAGCTCATACTTTTTGCATTTTTTAATAATTGTTGTTCAATGTCAGCTTTCTTAAAAGATGCTGTGTCTAATAATTAAATTCCATTCCCTCTACGCACATCATAATAGAAGGTTGTTAGTCAAGAATGATACGTATGACCAGTTTTTGCAAGTTAGCTTATGCAGAATCTATTACTCCCTATGTTTCATTTCATTTTACGAGATATTTTTTTTTCTTAAGAGTCAAATAGTTATAGTTTAACTAAATTTATGCATAAAATTTTCAACTTTTTGAAATGCAATTTGGGCAAAAAGCTTAAGTATACATATTAAGTATCATAATTACGACTATATAGCAACAGTTTTTTTTTCACCCAATAACATTAGTTTTTTTTCAAAGTTATGTTTTAATAATAAAAAAAATATATTAAAAAAAACACGTCCAATTAGTGCTCCAGCCGTTCCCCTTTTTTTCTCAAACTTTTCACCTTCCTCGATTTGCTCAGATTTGTTATATATATTCTCTCCTAATAATAAAAGGTTTCTTAACAAAAATAAAAATCTCTTACTACTCATTTTGGACGCACTTTAATCATGGATACCAACAATTATTCAATCCTAATTCACCATAAAGGAAGTTAGGACGCATCAGGTAATATTGATAAATCAATATTTGATTGTTATTTTTTTAAGTGATTTTTCTACGTGAAAAATCATGATCGTTATGTTGTAGTATACTATGTTGGATATGGGTTTTTTTTGTTACAACCTAACAAATGACGTTAAAAATGATGTAATTTTGAATCTTTTAATTAATGATTTTTTTGTTGTTGTTCAGCAATTTCGATTTTATTTTTTTGGGGGGAAAGTTTTTCTTTGGTTTGTTTTCTAGGGTTTGTAGGTTAAGAATAGAAAGCAGTTTTAGTGCTTATGGTTAGTAAATTGGTTAAATGATCGTTTTTAAATATTGAACATGTTGGTCGTACAGTGTGATGTATTTTTGGTTTTTAAGATGTCATTCATAATTTTAATGATGGTGTGCATATTGATTATATTTTGGTAGATAATTTGGATTGTTAAGTTATTGGGTGAAAATAATAGTTTTTAATTGGTGTCATTCAGTTTGTTATTTTTTTGGTACATAATGATGGTGTCATATTAATTCTATTTGTTAGAATATTTTAGATTGGTAAGTTATTTAGTGTAATTGATCGTTTTTATTTACTAAACATAATGGTCTGCCAGTTTGCTTAGATTCTGATTTTTATGGTGTTTTTCAAAGTGGCATTTTTGGTACATAATGATTGTGTTCATATTTATTCTGTTTGATAGATCATTTGGATAACTCAAAAATAACTTAATAGTGTAATTTATGAATTTTGTGGTACATATATTGAATAATTATTGGAGAAAACTCTTTAAATCAGGCTATATTATTTTAATACATTGAATTGACCAGGCTGATTGATGAGATTGACTTTGAATATGTTTTGATCTAAGACAGGTAGATATGTTGATTACGATATTGAAGGAGTAACATATGATGCAAACACAAAACATGAAGGCTTAATTACTACTATTGCTTCCCAATTAGGTGTGGACACAACAATATTTCATTTAAAACTAAAATATGTTGTGAGTGGACCATCTACACCAATGAAGATTCATAATGATATGGGTTATTACAAGGAGACAGCCAGGCAGACCACCAAGCAACGACCATAAGAAGGGATTCAACGAAGGAAAATACAAGAGGAGTAAAGTCATAGTAAATGTGATACATCAGGGCATAACAAAAAGACTTGCCCCAAATTTGCTTATCAAAATTAGCATTGTTGTATTTCAATTATTATTGTTGATGTTTTCTTCCAACAATTCTGAAATTTTTTAAAACTGATAAATGCACTTTTATCTAATTTGGTTACTCTTGATTAGTTTATTTGTATTATTGATGATTTAATTGACATATCTTTGATATTCTCATGTTTGACATACAGGCTTGGTATTGTCGTGTTTGTCATACAGTGTTGCGTTCTAGGTGACTTAGATAAATTCAACATGTTCAAAAAATTTGTGTTGTAACTAATGAGTGAATGTTATTGTAACATATGTAGCACAATTGGTGTGCTTATTGTGAAATAACACAAATACTGACAAAAATTGAATTGAAAACATTACTTAGAGTAAATATTTTTTTTGTTTGGAACCAAAATTAATTCACTTCAGTAACGTAAATTTTTTGGTATAATTTTGGAGTAGTACTGAAAAATGTTAACAAAAATGGATGTAAATAATGGCTATCACATACCGATTTGGTGTACTTGTGATGAAATAGACACAAGTATTGATAATAAATGAGGGGTATATACTAGATGATATTCTGATATAATATACCGGTCTGAAACATTGAATACACTTAAAGCTAGTTGAAGTGAAAAGTTTGATTTATATTAGACATCATTAAAGTAAGAAATTATGTATAATGATAATAAAAATGTTGAAAATAATGGTTGCACTATAAATACCCAGCACATACACAATTGGTAGAGTTGTGTAAACAAAAATAATAGTAAATATTGGTGTATATAGTGGCTGATATTCTGGTAATTTATACCTACATGAAACATTGAATATGAAACCACTACTTAAAGAAAATGATTTTGTTTTGAATGAAATATTGGTATTACATGCCCACATCATACATCGAATCTTTTAACTACTACTTACGTTAAAACATGTAATAATATTGATATACAGTGTCTGACATGTTGGTATTATATACCAATCTCACACATAGTTATATATTATATTCCAAAAACACACATTTTTGTTGAAATGTTCTATTATAAACCAAACTCACAATAAGTTCTCACAAGAAATTAACCAACATAATAAACCAAATAAAGATAGTTAAACTCCAAAATTAACACAATATCCAACAATGATATTCTAGTAATATATACAAACATGAAACATTGAATATGAAGAATATGGAGAGTTTAGACATTTGGCAGTTGAAGGAAATTTCCTAGAAACTATAACTCATCTATGGCTACATCAACTTTATTGGTAACATAAAAAGTTATAT